AGGGGTTGAGGGGTTTAGGGGTTGGGGGGTTTAGGGGTTGAGGGGTTGAGGGGTTGAGGCTTAGGGTGTAGGGTTCAGGACTTAGGGTCTCGGTCAGTGGCGCGAGCTTCCTTGAAATGGGGATTTCCGAAAAAAGGGGACCCGAATATAGTGGCCTAAATAGTAGGATCCTTATTATAGGACCCCAAAATAAGGTACACCCTATTTTCGGAAGCTCCCAAAATGGCTCTGTCGACTTTGAAGTGTCCCCGAGGATGGATGCAGCCTTCTCGTCCACTTCCAACCGGGGTTAGGGTCAGATCCTAAACCCTAAAAACTCTAAACTTTAAGCCTAAACCCTAAACTTTAAGCTTTAAGCTCTAGACTTTAAGCCTAAACCCTAAACTTTAAACTTTAAGCCTAAACCCTAAACTTTAAACTTTAAACCCTAAACTTTAAGCCTAAACCCTAAACTTTCAACTTTAAGCTCTAGACTTTAAGCCTAAACCCTAAGCTTTAAACTTTAAGCCTAAACCCTAAACTTTAAACTTTAAACCCTAAACTTTAAGCCTAAACCCTAAACTTTCAACTTTAAGCTTTAAACCTGAAGCCTAAACCCTCAACTGGCGTTTCGGGCGCTGCGGGCTTCCCTTCTTTGCCTCCTCTGCTCCCCGCGAGGATGGCTCCTACGGCCAAGAGCTGGGGGGCCTGGAGGAGACCTGCGTCGACCTGCGAAGGTCTTTAACTTGGGGTTTTGGGGTTTTAGGGTTTAGGGGTTTTAGGGTTTAGGGGTTTAGGGGGTTTAGGGTTTTGTGGGGGTTTAGGGTTTAGGGGTTTTAGGGTTCAGGGTTTAGGGGTTTAGGGTGTAGGGGTATTAGGGTTTAGGGTTTAGGGGTTTTAGGGTTTAGGGTTTAGGGGTTTTCGGGTTCAGGGTGTAGAGTTTAGGGTTTCTTTCGCATAAGCCCTTCTATGGGAACTACAAGGAGTAGGCTATCTAAGGTAGTGCTTGCACTCAATTCCCTAGGTGCCCCTAACCTCGAAGCCAGCAAGCCTGTTCCTGTCGCAGAGTCGCCGCGCGCAGGACGGGCATAATGACGGAAAGTGGGACCAGTTCGCTGCGAACGAGCAGAAGCATCTTGCCCCGCAAAGAAAGGATTTAGGGTCGTAGGTTTAGGGATCTACGAGCCTACCTTGCGGCTTATGGCCGCCTGAATGCCCTTTGACCCGTGATGGGTGGGGTACTCTGTCTTGTAGGAGCTGGCGAAACATGTGCTTCGACGGACAGGTTTACAAGCCATAAGCTTGCGTTTCAGTTGAGCTGACCTGTTTATCGCTGTCCTAAACCCTAAACCCTAAACCCTAAACCCTAAACCCCTAAACCCTAAACCCCTAAACCCCTATACCAAAACCCCCTGTGAGAAAGTCGAGGAAGAAGCCCCCCCCGAGTATCAGCCCTGAGTCAAGGTTCCGTCTACTGGCATCTTCAGGGGGGTTTAAGGTTTGGAAGTTCGGGGCTTATGGTTCAGGGTGGGGTTTCACGTTTGGGGTTTTGGGTTTCATGGTTTTTTGTTTTTTACAGAGGTTTCGGGAACCCAACCTAATAGGGACACTAGAGGTCTTTCTTGTCCCATCTGTTTGCCGAGTCGTGGTTTTGTAATCATTCTTGCGGCAAGCCCTGGCCAATCCCAGCCGAGGTATGGTGTAAGTTCAACCTTCAATGAGGACGCTCTGAACTTCAGGGTTCGGCAGTGTTCACAAACTGCACTGTCCATGCTTCGAATGCAAGTTTGGCCGGAGCTTAGAATCTCGGTCTCAGATGCGACCAAAGAGCCAAAGCAGGACCCTCGGACCAGTTGCAAGCTCCTACAGCACGCTGAAGCACCGATTTCTGACACTGAAGCCGACGCTTCTGCGGTTGCGAGCATCGCAGCTTGTCGAATCTTTCTCCTGCCTGTTCCCAGCATTCCCTCTGCTTCCTCTGCCAGCTCAAGAACTGGCGGGCTTCCTGACAGGAATACTACACCACGCCGTTGGACAAGAGTTCTATCCCGGCGGAGAAAAGAGAAGAGGCCGGCAGTCATGCTTCGCGTTTCAGATCGACAGGCAAGCTGCAACCTCACACCCGGAAGCCCTGAGCTCCAGAACCACAAGGCCTAAACGGTAGAAACCCTAAATGCTGAACCCTAAGCCCAAAACCGTAAATCAGATAGCTCACGGAGAAGAGGCGGACCAGATCGCCAGACAGATTGAAGCAGGGCAGACGCACGCCGAGGACGGGGACGGGGCTTTTGAAATTGGTTTATGGGCCCGGAAAGTTTCGGGGCCACAGTGCCCAAGCATTTCTAAAATGTTGTGGGTCGTGTTGAGGGAATGAGACGGAAGCCGAAGGGGAGGACATCAGGCCTGTGTAATTAGGGTACTTATGCTTTGGCAAGTAGAGAAAGAGTCCGTGTAACCTTACACTAGGTTCTACCTACTTCTACCCCCACATGTAAGGTACATATAACCATTGTGCAACAGTTCGCCGAAGGGTTCGGGATGTCAGGCTTTGGGACATGGGCGCAAGTTTCGGAGCTTCCTGGTGCTTGGAATCTTCGGTGAGGGAAAGAGACAAGCAGACCGCATTCTGCCTAAAGCCGGAGCATCCCTGCATTCAGAAAGGAAATCCCAAACTCTAAACCTTAAAGTGCAAACCTGAAGCCCCAAAACCCTGAATCGAAACCGTAAACCCCAAACCGTCTGACCTCTAAGCTGGACTTTGTTTCCGAAACCCTACGGAACCCCTAGGGTCCAAACTGGAATCCTGTACAGTCTGTCTCTCTCCCTCTCTCTCCCTCTCCCTCCCTCTCTCTCTCTCTCTCTCTCTCCCTCTCTCTCTCCCTCTCTCCCTCGCTCTCTCTCTCTCTCTCTCTATACTCTGGAGGTTGAGGATCGCGTCGACGTCGACGGCGATGGGGATGAGGAGGCCATTTGCCGAGGAATAACGGCTGGTAAACAGGGGTACGATAGGGTTCCATATCGGCGCTACATGGCTTACCGCAAACGGCACTATCAGGCTAGTACCACGACCCTGGAAAAACCCTACATAAGTCCTCCCCTGACAGAGAGTTGAACAATTCTATAAACCCCTACTCCTAAACCCTAAACCCTAAACCCTAAACCCTAAACCGTAAACCCTAAACCCTCAACCCATATAGACCCCTACTCCTAAGCACCCTTGGAACCCCCGTCTCAACGCCGCGAAGGCGCGCTTCGGCGCCGCAGCGCCGCTGGCCAACACTGGCAACAGGGCCCGTGCCTCAAGCCTTCTTTCGGGCGCGGGTTTCGGGGTTTCGGGTTTAGGGTTTAGGTTTATAGCTGTTTAGGGTTTAGGGTTTAGAGTTTAGGGTTTGGGGTTTAGAGTTTAGGGTTTAGGGTTTCTTGAAAAGGGGTCCCGAAACAGAACCGCATACTCACAGCCTGCAGCGCTCCACCCCAAAAGGTATCCTAAACCTTAGACCCTGAAGAAAGCACTGAAGAAGACCCGAAGCCGCGAGGGTTGCGGGGTCTCTTCAGCGGAGGGGTTTCGGCTGCAGTTGTATGCTGCACTTGAATCCCGAAAGTTAATTCAACCTCGAGCCCCCCTCTACCGAACCGAAGAACCCGAAACCCAGAATCCCAATGGGCCCTAAGCCCTAAACCCGAAACCCGAAACCCCAAACCCTGAATCTGAAACCCGAAACCCGAAACCCTAAACCCTAAACCCGAAAAACCCTAAACCCAAAGCCCGAAGCCTCCAAAAACCCAGCGCTACGATCGCTCCCTGAGGCCTTCAATAGCAACCGGCCGCTTCCGCAGGTTCCCGAGCGACCCGGTCAGGACCGGAAGAATCGAATTTCACTCAGCTTCTGAGTCCTTGCTTTGCATTGTCTTTTTCGGGTTTAGGGTTTCAGGTTTT